ATAACGTAGAATGCCATAAGGGCGTTTATACTTCCCTAGTCTTAATCTTAGTCTTAATCTTAGTCTTGGAAAGATCCCATCTTTTAACTTTAGTCCCTAATGTCCTAAGGCCGGGCCAATGAGGTAAGTCTGACGTCCGACGCAGCACGAAACCGCGCGAAATAATGGTTTTCGATTTTTGTAAAATACGAAAATGAGTGATGCTGATTTAATTGAATGTGTCCAACAATTCGATGTTGTTTGGAATAAAAAAAATCCAAATTATAAAAATAAATTAGTGGTTAGGTTTTGTTACATTTGCACATGCGTAGTCCGAATTTCCAGGGAAGCATAAACGAGTCCTTAAGATTAAGTTAAGACTAAGACTAAGATTAAGATTAAGACCGAAGCATAAACCAGCCATAAACCGGCCATAACAAGTTGCATAGTCTGATGCAGGCTTTAAGGCCTATCCAGACAAACTTGCATAGTCGCATAAACATATACATAAGGAAAGTAATTGATCCATAAGCAAATGCATAAGGAAATTGACCAATCAATTTCCTTATGCATATGTTTACGCGATTATGCAAGTTTGTCTGGATAGGTCCATAATAATAACAGATACGTACCATCTGATCAATTGTTTCTAAGTAATCCAATCTGATTGGTTGATTTAAGAGCAACTACCAATTAAAATCAATTCTTTTTCTTAACAAAGCAGTGTGTCCATCATGCTTAATTTTTATTATTTACTCTCATGTTACATATTTGCACAATAAGAAGTGAGTATTAATAATAAAATAATTCATGGACATTATATTTATATATTAAATTTTTTTAAAATAAAAATTTGTCTAAATAAAAAACTAAATTACATTTATAACATATTTATATGAAAATAGCTACTATTTATGTTCGAAATAATACACATTTGATTATTTTAGCATGTTTAGATATTAAATTTGGTTATTTTAACATTTATAGAGATTATATAAATAATTTTTGCATAGATGTGTGTGTATATATATAATATATATTTTTTAAAATAAATTTCTACATAATTCTTTAGACGTATATTTATTACGACAGATTTAATCGGTATATATATTTATTTTTATTTCTCAGTGAAATACATAATAAATACTAGTGTTAGGAGTGGTTCTATCTATTTAAATATTATAATTAAAACTTAACTTCTTAATACTTATTTATCTGTAATATAATTACATACAAACAAGAGAGTTAAAAATATATACAAGCAAATAAATTTTTACATAAAGAATGCACAGATTTCTTGTAACTACATTTGTATATATAATATGCAAATTGAATGCATACTCTGTGTGTCGCAACAACACCTTTTGTATAATTGTAGAATTAATAGATCACAAAAATTAATATATGCAAATATACAAATGTGTAAATGCGAAACAGAAAAGACAAATATTTTATAGTATATTAAAATACATAATGTGAGTGACGTTAATAAATTCCATGTTGATGATTTGTTGTGTGTAATAATGAATGTGTACGTGTTGTATTTGGAAAAAAAAAAAAAAAAAAATAAAACATATATATATATATAAAGAAAGATATTTCATACATTTGTAGATTGAATTAATTCATTGTTATTCTAATAGCATGAGACTTTAAATAATCAGTAGTGCCTTTTTAAGGAATATAAGATATGTATGGAAGCGTATGATTATTGATTATACAGGATATAACGAGGTAAACGTCGATGCACATAATGGTCATTGACCTGTTATTTACAAGCATGCTTGTTCTACACAAATTGCATAAATTGCACGCGATGAAGCAATTACATTGACATCGTTAAACCCTGTGTAAACGATACACGACGTTAGGTGAAATATGTAAATTTCGAATGTAAAATGAGTTAGTGACCATAAACTATACAAAGTAGATTACCGTCGGCAATATAACAATGTGTGTAATGGATACATTATGAAACATTGTAATTAAAACATTGCTTATTACATAGGTTTTTATATTAGAACTATACAAAGATTTCATATACCGTTTAGCTTCCATCTCGCTTCTTTCAGAAAACAATGTACACTATGTGTGGAGTTCGAAGTTTTTATTATCTGTGTGTCCCTTTTTCTCAATAAGTATACATATACTTACGCTAGTGCATGTTTCATTATTCACGTGCATGCAAATAGTTCGTTCTACTCCTAATTAACAGCAGAATTTTATTGTATATCCTTGAAATGTTTATCGTATCACTGTACGACACTCTCATATAAAATGCCAAGACTCTATATGCGATCATCGTTAAAACAATTTCGAGTATTTCGCTAAATTATAAATCTGTAGTGTATCTCGCAACTATGATAATAATATATTTGAAAGTTTCATATTACATTAATATTAATACCAAATAAAATTAGATAAAATCAAATAAAGTCAAATGATTTTTAGATTATGGCGTGTCGCAGAGGTATGGTTGTACCTTGCATGAATTACAATTGATGTACTGTAAAAAAATGATAAAAATAAGCGATATAACATAGAAAGAATGTAGAAAAATTTATATCCAAATCTATACTCAATCATCATGGATTATTCCAACTATAAATGCACTTTGCGATGTTCCCTATTTACTATTTTCTTTTTTTTTATAATTTCTCGGCAAGAGTACACTTAATTTATAGTGACAGTATTAGTTTGAAGGAAAATAAAATATATAAATAAAGTATATAAGATAATAGAAATAAGAATGTATATCTTAGGCTATTATTTTACAACAAAAACAATAACATTCGATATAATACTCCCCAATATATCTGTCAATAAGGCTTTAAATTTCAGCGATGCAAGCATAACTATAAGGATTACGATGTTCAAAATAATTAACAATCGTTTTTACATTCTTACAGACTATGATTCTCCACAATTTCGTGGACACTTAACGATTTAAAATGATGTACAAATAAATAATGAGAATTAGCGCGAACACGAGGGAGTAATGTATACATGAGCAATTATATCTGGGTATATATAAATGAAATTATTTTATAGCTTCCGTGCAGAGAGGGAGCGACCCAAAATCGAATATATGTGAAGTTGAAATAATATCGTTGCCGGAAAATAACACAGATAAAGAACAACTGATCAGCGTAAATCCGGATTATCGTTAATTTGCTTTTTTATACGTAATAATACTGTTGTATACCATTGATCCAATCTTGAAATTGAATCATATTCCTTCACCGCTTCTGTGTAACCTTCAAGGTTCTGATCCTCCAAGTGTTCTATCAGCGTCTACAGATGTATAACAAATAATCAAATAATACTGCAGAATTAAGCAAGAAATTAAACTACAAAAACGTACCTTTATCAGTTTAAATTCTCTAGAATCTTGGAAAGCCGGATACTGTTCCTGATAACGCTCAATCGCGTGTTGGGCATTTAATGAATCCACACACAAGTGGCATAATGCAGCGCGAAAAAAGTATTCCTTAGCACTGTATTTTAGTAAAGAACTTTCTAATGATGCGGATGCAACCTGTATAAAATAAATAAAGTCCAAACAACTGAATTAAAAGTGACCAAGTTTACATCATCAATTTCATGAGTATTGCCAAATCTTTTCATAATTCATTATAAATAACTTAAATTCTTACCTGCTCATAGATTTGAATGGCTTTATCATAATTCTCAAGTTGTGCAGCATATTGTGCAACTTTCAGTAGACACTTGTTCGCCGAAGAATTACTTTCCTCACCACGGAAATAATCCGCAGCTTGCTCATAATGATGCACCGCACGTTCTAAATCGACTGCTTCACTTTCATAGATCTCAGCTATACTTTGGTGATGCTTTGCTGCCATTGTAAAACGACCCATGTCAGTATAAATCTCGATAGCTTTTAACAAGCAACTGATTGCCTCTGTAAAGATAAAAACAAGAAACACATTAGGTTTATTCTATTATTTCATTATAGTCGTAGAATGCATTCAACATTTTAATTAAAATTATTTTCATAGATCATTGTTATACCATTTGTATCGGATTTTTTGAAGCAATTGGCAGCATCTACATAATTATTAGCTGCGTCATGACGACTACCCGCCTTTGCGTGTAAATCTGCCGCATCGTAAAACGCCTTGCCCGCTGAACTCCACTTCTTTGCCATCTTGAACATGTTCGCCGCTCGTTGATAACATTCTACCGCCTCTTCGACTTTCGATGAGCTTCTGCAAAGTTAATTATTAATTTGCTAATCTAACTGAGATAACGATATTAATGAAACGCAGAATTTATCATCCTCTGATAACATACAATATTAGTCACAGTCTGTGCAAAATCAATCAAGATGTATAATTATATTACGTGAGTAGTCGGAATTTTCTACAAAATACTGCAATTTTATGCAGATAATTCCAATTATGCGTATCGAACTACAAATGTGGCATATTGTCACATTTCTATACATGGTATACACATAATTAAAAGCGATTCACGCTACATCACACGACAGAAACTAAAATTATAATACGAGCGAATGATCATTGAAGCATCAAATTTCTCACGATATGCGATGGAATCGACGCGATTTGGTGACGCAGGATCAAGAGAAGCGTGATTTCGTAAATCATTCTCGATTGGGCGAGTTCAAGTGATAAATCGATCAGCTTACCCGAACAGTGCGCCGAAAAAGCCCTTCGACGACGACAGTTTTCTCTCGGCCTCAGCCACCAGTTGCAACGCTTTCTGCTCGTTATCGGCCATGACGACGTTGTCCGATTGTTTTCTTCTCGCGGAATTTTTCAGGCGTCCTGACTCATAAACTGCACTCAATAGATTTTACCCCCCTATCCCTCGCAACGTTCGCCAAAAGCACGGAAAACGCGACAATTAGGAGTGCATTGAATGTCATCGCTGTCAGAACTGCCAACTTGCTTACGAAAACACCGAGCGATTTGGGCTGCTTTTCAAAAACGCGACGATCGTCAACAAAAGTCGCGCTCATTGGCCAGCAAAACTTATTTTCATCATCATCGCAGCGATGCGATAAAGCACGAAATACTACGATTTTTAATCGCTGAAATTGGTAGCATTGCAAAATTAAAAACTGGTAATTAGAATTACATTAAGAACCATTGTTACGAATTGTCGAATTATTTCTTGGCTTACTTGGGCTTACTGAAGCTCGCTGATCTGACGGCGCATTGTTAATGCGAAACATGTCCTTTCTGTACAGACAGGAAATACAATCGCTACAGGAGAGAATGCAAAACACTTTCATAATTGGCGTAATTATTAGTACCACGAATGTAAGAACGTTTGACGCCACTCAAACGAAATGTATGTATTCGTTGTTTTTTTTTAACCTTATCGCACTTTTATTTAATACAATTAATAATTGATTAATATTACAAGAACAAGTCAGTTTAAAGTATATTTTTTTCGAAAAGATTTTTAAATCATAGATACTTAAACCGCACAATCACTCTACTATTTATGAATGTAGAAACATTTGGTTTACGTAAAGTTATTTTGATAAGTTTTTAACGATATCTACATAAAATAAAGAAAGAAGTAGGGTTTTGTTTTTCTCAACTTGTCGATCGTTGCAGTTAACAAGGGCGAACGCAGCGTGTGGTCATTCATTTTGCGGGATTCCGAGAAGGATTTTATTAATGTGACTGTATGGGGTAATACGGAATTTGTGAAAAAACTATCGTCTACATTTAATATTGGATCAGTAGGTGTGTGCATATTTTAAGAACAAGTGACTTGTGACACAAGTTACAAACAAATCAATGTATTATTTTTATAATTTGTATTACTAATAATGATTAAGTATAATTGGTGGCTTAT